TTTTTTTTTTTTTTTTTGGGGGTGTCCATGTGTTGGGCATGTACTCTCCTTATTTATATTGTCCCACGTTTATAGGTGTTGCATGCATTAGTTAGGATTTCCAGTTGGCACAATGTATAAGCTGAAAGAGAATGCTTATCCAATTTTGTATTAGTCCTAATTTCTTTGTATACTTATTATCATTTCTTAAAAGAAAAACAAAAATATCATACGCGTGTGGACATGTCAATCAGGCGGGCTGGTTCACGACCCGGAGGGTCGTCAAGCCTCAAAAGCTGAACCCTGAACCGGCCCAGCTACATCTAAGTGAACAGGCCCAACCCAGCAGTTCATTGAACTGCCGATTCTTTTAATAAAACAATTGAAAAATAAAATAAAAAACAACTCGGACCTGCCTTCTGACCCAAAACCAACTTTGGTTAAAAAAAATAATAAGTCTCGGAACCAGCCCGGTTTTACCACGGTCTGGTTCACCCGTAGTTCCGGGCTGGTTCGGCGAGTAGGGCCAACCCTGGCGACCTCTACGTGTAAGAAAATGTAAACCCGTAGGTCGGAGTGGTACTGAGAATCAGAGCCATAATAATTGCTACTGTAAGCCAATGAAAAATCATCGTTTTTCAATGGTTTTCAAATGCATTCCTATTTTAATTCGACATTACCTGCTCTTCACTTCTCAAATGTCAAATCGACGGCAAAACAAAACCATTCCTCTATTTGTTACAACTAAAATGAAAAATTAAAATGGAGAAAAGGGGAACATAATAAATTTATCAGGAATTTTTATTTTTTTTTTTTTAAAAAAAAAAAGCTCCTCCAATCTTACGCTCAATAACAATTACTCATCAAAATACTGATGCCACATTCATGGTATTTAATATTTATCTATAATGAAAGGTCATAAATTAAGTCAGCTTGAATAATATAAGCTTATATTATTAATAAAACCCTAATGTTACAATTTGACTCCATAAATCTATCTTTTTATACAAATCTCCTAATGTGCTTAATTACAATTTGACCCATTAACTTTCGAGATATGGGCATTTCAATAAACAATGTAAGAAACGAGGAAAAACGGGTGCGGTCCCACGCAGATGAAGCGCACCAAGACAGGGAAAGCTCAGATGAAGCCCAATAAGTTCCATCCCAAAACCAATTGGTGGAAGGACGAGTAGTCCATTAGACTTATAATAAATTAGGCCCCCTATATAAACGATGTGGGACAACTCACAAGTGATACTATAACAAACAATATATTATGCCTTGTACATTTGTTATACAACTCACAAAGGAACTCAAAACATCTCTAAGGCATCCCATACAAATAGTGCTGCACCACCACCACCATATAAAAACTTTAACTGGTTATATAATTCATACTTAAAAGAAAAATAACATACAACCAGATAGGGTAAGATATGTGGCTAGGATGAAGTGGCAGTACACACACACATTTATTTTGGCACCACCACCAAAGGGCTACAAATGCAGGTACTGTGTGTATAGTGAATACATGCAACATTTACAAGAAATGGGGAAGAAAAAGAAAAGAAAAGAAAAGCAGCCTTAAATAACTGCAGTGTGAGAGCTGAGAGGTGATTGCCATTTCAAACCAAGGCCCCATTGGGGGAGTTGGGAGCTTCTTAAACATTCTTTAACTACTAATAAATGGTTGGTAAATGCTCACGCGCATCATATAACTCTACTACTGTAGTCGTCATTTTTATTTATTTATTTATTTTTTAAATGTATTGCTGTGGCTGTAGGAAGAATATTTTTGAAAATTATTTATGGAGTATATTTTAAGGGAGATGCTACGGTACCATTACAGAACCGTTCCGTCGGGGTTTGTACACGTTAGATCATCATGTAACCGTCGGGGGATAGTTGATGTAAGGGTTACAAACCTCGACGACGGGACCGTAGCATTTCCTTATTTTAAGTTAATGACTTCGTGTAACGCTGCTGGCGACTTTCAAACGGCGCCATGGCACAGTGGAAAAATAAAATAAAAATGAAGCACTAATATATATAATTAGAATGATCGATTGACCAAAAGGGCTCGAAAAATAAACTAAATAAAAAGGATTCTGCAGCCTAGACAGCCCACTTAAATTTCTAATGCTTCATGCTTCAGACATTAACAGACTATGCTTCACATAGTACCATGCAACAATTTTTACTGCACTGGAAAAAAAAAAAAAAAAAAAAAGACGGCCTACTCACTCTGTGGGCCTCAAAGAAGGAAATAAAAAGACAGAGACGGTACAGCTTTAAATTCAAACACAAGTAAAAAGGTACGTTGAGGAGAAAAGGACTCACCAATTGCGCATAAAGTCTTTCCATGAATGCTTTCACCGATAAACACTGCTAAATTCCACCCAAAACCCGTACTTAGCCAAGAACCAACCACGCTCCATATTCAACACAAAGCCTGTTAATTAAAAAAAAAAAAAAAAAAAGTATTACTGGCCAATTTTTTTATAATCGGGACAGCAAGGTGCGGCCCCGCACAGTGAAACGCATTATAAGAGGGTGAGCCTAGTTGCACCTTGAGATTTTATTTGAAAACCAATTGAGGATGGGAGGAGTAGCTTATTAAGCTTATAAATTAGGCTCATTTACTGGCTAAATTTCATTTTTAGTCCACTATGTTGATCATTTTCCGAAAAAGGTCCATCATATAGGGTGTCATCAATAATGGTCCACTAAATTGTCACTTTTAATCAAAACTCGTACAAATGCCAACATAGTGGACTAAAATTGATTATCACTTTTAGTCCACTATGTTGGCATTGTACGAGTTTTGATTAAAAGTGACAATTTAGTGGACCATTATTGATGACACCCTATATGATGGACCTTTTTCGGAAAATAGCCAACATAATGGACCATTTTTGAAATTTTGCCCTCATTTACCCTATCAAATCCATGTGGGACAAACTCACAAGTGATATTCCGACATTTCATCCTTTGCACCACACGGATGCCACACCCACTTTACACACGCTAAAAACAAAAATTGGCCATGCAAAGTCAGCTTTCAATCACTCAAAATGCTACTCAGCAAAATTAATTACACAAGTGTGAAAAACAAATAGGAAAAAAATTACCCAGTGGTTGAGGGCCTCCTTTTCGGGCAAGTAGTCCCAGGAATCCAAGATCGATTCCCATGAAGTGCGTGGGTTGGAGTTTTTCCATCTTTATTGTTATTTGAGCACATAAAATAAAATACTTTGAAAAAAGGTACCTACTTAGAAGGACTGTAATCCAGCAACCTGCCTGAGTTTCTCATAAGACACCCAAAACACAAACTGCCACGGTCCAAGCCTGGCCCACGTAGGAAAAAAGCCCTTCCACAAAGCCTTAAACCCCTCGATCCTAACAGTTTCCGTGAGACAGTTGAACGAATTTCTATACTTGACGGTGTTACCCTTACCTGCAGCCTGATTCATCATTCTTGTCTTAATGACATCAGCCGGGCAGCTCAATGTGGCAGCTGAGAGGCCCGATACGACCGAGGAAAGGGTGTGGGCGTAAATATTGTCGTTGCAAATTTTATTCTGAATAATGAATCGTTTGACATGATCATAACAGGCCAATTCGCCCATGTTTACCAAAAACGCCCTTTGGACATTTGCCGATACGCCTTTCCAGAGGCCCAAAGGTCCCTCAGTATGAATAATTTTGTTCAGGGCGTCAAAGAGTCCCGTATATCGAGGATGGAGGCCTTGGCTGACCCTCAGACCGTCAGCTTGCATCCTTACCTTGATGAGATCGGCAGGGCTAGCGATTACCTATTGTGAAAAAGCAAATATTAACTTTCCAAATAATGATAATAATAATAATAAACAAAATAATCAATAATGATGACCATAATGACGACAATAGAAGTATACTGCAAATCGATGACTCTAAACTGACATAAGGCCAACATTTTACAAAAAGGGTGCAACAATTTTTATATCATTGAATAATGAAAATTGTTGATATTTCTTAAATAATTAGCTCATAATTAACTGTTTGTTAGGAAAATCCGAACAGGAAACGTTTGGAATTACAGCAACAAAACCTGGCCTAGGGTTGATTGATTTTCTATTACAAGGCAACATACGTTGGAAATAGGAGGCATTATGCTGTCTTGAAGGTATATTGAGGAAGTTAGGAGTTGACTAGAAATTCTCATAGCTAGCTTTGCTAGCATCTGATTGTACTGGCATATTTCAACTCACGTTAGTCTCACTGGAACTGCTTCCCTGTTTATTGAACGCAGAACATAAATAGTTTCTCTTAATGATAGCCGACTTCCCAACCTTCTGAACCTTTCAGTCGAGCATATTTCCTCCTCTCATTGATGTCGAGCTGGGCAGCTAACAGGTTTACAATTTTCTTTGTGAAGTTAACTGGACAATATAAATAAAAATGATGTGCATTGGATGTTAAAAAAGAAGAGCCCAATAATGCAAGCTGAAAGACCATGAGCTAAAGTATAATATTGACATCCACAAGAACTCCAGGGTTTCTAATTTCTATTATTTGAAACTTCTCCTTATCAATTAAAGGATTCACTTCTCCACTCAGATTATCACTGTTCCTTGCGTACTAACCTTAAATTACAAAACTCCAAGCTTTCCGGCATTTTAGTGGAAAATCATTTGACTCTGTAATACGAGAAAATCGGAGTGTTCAACATGACAGAAGTGCGCACAGTCCAGGAAAAGCATTTTGATTCGAATTATTACTTCTTCCTCACAGATTTTGAACTATTTACATTTTCTTTAATTATATCGAAGACAAGAGAGTCTATCAACCTTCTAAATTACATGTTACCTCCACTCATTTTGGAAAGACAAATTCCATTTCGAGCAGCATTAGCTAAATAAAGAGTCGTTTAGAACCTGGGGTCCTCATAACCGGACGAGTCATTGTCAAGATATTGGTTCACTGGTCGGACTAGTGGTTGAACCGATATTCAATATATTAATGTTTTTAAATATATATAAAATCTTATATATTAATTTTTTATATAAAAACATAGTTAATTAAATATGTGTTTCATCTCCATAGAACGGCTAAGTTTTACGTTGGCTCGCCAAGCCTATCACAACTCTCCTCCTTTACAAGGGCTTAGGACCTGCTATGTTGAGCCCTTTTTTTGTGTTTCGCTTACCATTTTTCTTGAGTTTCATCTCTAGCCTACCCCAACTTATTTGGGACTAAAAGACTATGTTGTTGTTGTATAGTTAATTAAATATTAGAGAGCTTTAAAAATTTAAATACTTACACTTATTAATAAATAATTTATAAATATCCATTATACTTAAATATGTATCTTTATTTATATTAAAAATATTTTAACATATATTAAAAGTTAACTTTTTTTAAATAAAAAAATGTGGACCGGTCCAACAGGCCAATTTTGACTGGTTCAACGGGTTGTTGACCAATTCGCTGGTAACCGATTTTTTCTAGCAAATCGAACTAATCAACTAACCGATTCCCGGTCCAACTGGCCGGTTTGCTTCAATTTGAAAACAATGTTTATCATATATATCAATATATATATAGAGAGAATAACCATTTATTAGAAATAGTAGCCATAAAAATCTAGTAATAAATAATTCACACTGTAATTGGTAAGATTATAAATATTTGCAAATAAAAACTAGAGCATTGACCGAATCATTAAATGCATGCGTTAGTTTCGGTTCTATCGATAAATCAACCCTATGCATAAATCTCGCAAGCTTACAAAATCCCACCTCTTATCTATTAAGCGACACATGCTGCATTGACTTCAAATATCACAGTCGGGTCTTTATTATTCGATAATCCACTGGCTTGTTGCATATGCTGAGTCATGTTTCTAAGCCAGATGTCTTCCTTAGTTGCTTCATGAAGTGCAATAATCTAATGAAGATATAGCAACTAATATTTCTTTTTTAGAACGCCAAGAAAATGCAGTTCCACCAATTGTGGAAACGTAACCAGTTTGAGATCTTGCCTTACGTGGATCTAATATTGATAATGAAGTTGAAGATCCTTAACCAAAATCTGTAATTGAACTTCAGAAAAGACATGATTGTGATAAGTGGAAAGGCATCATCCAAGCCGAGTTAGATTCACTTAATAAACGAAAAGTTTTTTTTTTGTGTCAATTTCCATTATACCAAAAGTCATAAAACCTATTGGATACAAATAAGTTTTCATCAGAAATGAGAAAAATAAGATCACGCTCGCCTTGTAGCACATGAATTCTCCCAAAGGCCTAAGATCGATTATGATGAAACATATTCCCCTTTCATGGATGCAATTACTTTCAGATACTTGATTAGTTTAGCTATCCATGAAAATCTTGAAAAGTGTCTCATGGATGTTGTGACCGTTTACTTGTATGGATCATTAGACGCCGACATTTACATTATAATTCCAGAATGAATTAGAATGCCCGAAGCACTAAATCCAAACCTAAAGAATTATGTGCGATAAAGCTGCAAAGATTATTGTATGGCTTGAAACAAATCGGCCTATGTGGTATAATTGTTTGAGTGAACAATTGCTAAAAAGGGAATACATAAATAACCAAATATGTCTGTGTGTCATTATAAAAAGCTCAAATGATGGAGTTGTGATAATTGTTGTCTATGTTGATGATCTTAATAGTATCGGGACAACAAATGAAAATCAAGAACGGCGAACTTTAAATGAAAGATCTCAAGAAAACCAAATATTGTCTCGGCTTGCAAATAAAACGAGAACAAAACGGGATATTTGTCAATCAATCTAACTACACTAAAAGAATAATGAAACGATTCAATATGGACAAGACTAATCCCCTTAGTACTCTGATAGTTAATCGAACATTAGATGTGGAAAATGATCAATTTTGACCTTGGGAATAAAATGAATAAATATTTGGTCTTGGGATACCATATATGAGTGCAATAAGTTATGTATCTTGCTAATTGCACTAAACCAGACATATCTTTCGCTGCCAACTTATTAGCAAGATATAACTCGTCACCTAAGAGGATACATTGGAATGGAATCAACCATATATTCCATTATCTCCAGGGGACAACAGATTTGTTATTGTTTTACTCAAATGATAAAAAGCATGAAATTATTAGTTCTGCAGATACAGGGTATTTATCAGATCCACATAAGATCCACATAAGACAAGTCTCAAACTGGGTACGTTTTCACAATTGGTAGAACTGCATCTTCTTGACGGTTTAGAAACAAACATTAGCTGCTACATCTTCAAACCATGCTGAGATCACTGTACTTCATGAAGTAACTAGGGAAAACATGTGGCACAGAAACATAACTCAACATATGCAACAGGCCAGTGGATTATCGAATAATAAAGACTCGACTGTGATATTTGAAAACAATGCAGCATGTGTCGCTCAAACCAAAGATGGATACATTAAGAGTGACGAAACTAGACATATCCCGCCAAAGTTCTTCTCATATACACAAGAACTTGAAAGAAACACAAGTCAAAATTTAATACATTCGATCAAGTAATAATGCATCACATTTATTTACAAAGGCGCTTCCTACCATAATATTTTGAAAGCACGTCAAGAACATTGGAATGACATCTTTTGGATTTACACAGATGATAACTGGAGGGGGGGCATGTGCGGTCGTACTATTTTTTCCTTATCTCGATTTTTTCTCACAGGATTTTGCCGGATAAGGTTTTTAATAAGGCAGCATAAACGCACATTTATAATGTAATTCCAGGGGGGTGTTGCAAACAGAAGGAATTAAACCACTATAAAATAGTGAAATGATTAGCATATGGGGAGATGAGCATGAGTTGTAAACAAGTAGGCATGAGTTGTAAACAAGTAGGCATGAGTTGTAAACAAGATGGATATGAGTTGTAAACAAGTGGAACTAAATTATTTGTACATATTTATTGAGATGTATGAGTAGAGGTTGCCTACAAAAGGCAACCAAAATGAAGTGGAGAAACAAACTTACAAACAAGAAAAATCAGATTAGGAGTTATATTAGTTTCCTATCTTGAGTTCGTTATCTTCCCTGCATTCATAATAATGAACTATTTAAATTTTCTTCAATTTATATACGAAGAAAAGAGAGTATTAACCTTCTAAATGACATTACCTCCACTCATTTTGGAAAGACGAATTCCATTTCGAGTAGCATTAGCTAAATACATAGTCATTTAGTAACACAATTCTCTGAACCGGACCAGTCATTGCACCGGTCGATCTGCTAGTTCACTGGTCGGACCAATAGTTGAACCGATGTTTAATCTATAAATATTTTAAAAATATATAATATATTTTAAAATATAAATAAACATAATTAATTAAATATGTAAACAATTGTAAAACATTTAAATACTTAAACTTATTAATAAATAATTTATAAATATCCATTATACTTAAATATGTATCTTTATTTTAATTAAAAATATTTTAAAATATGTTAAATTTAACTTTTCTTAAATAAAAAATGTTGACCAGTCCAACAGGCCGGTTTTGATCTCACTACCATGCTCGGCAACTAATCTAGCTGAGACCCTCCATGCTATAGCTCGGCCACTAATCCAGTTAACACCATGCTCAACACTATGCTAGAACGTATTAGTATATAAATTGCCGAGCTACCAGGTGAGCCTTAGTCGAGCTTCTTTGTCTTGCTATAGCGCCTGCATTAGACTCTTAATAACCCCTCGCGATGAGCTTAAAACAACCTATTGTCGCAGTATCCAGCTAACTGGTTCAACCTTAACATCCTGAGTTCAGCCATCGAACCCTGAGCGTCTGCAAACAAATGCCGAGCTCCACTTGAGCTCGGCCTGTGACACTTACCTACGAGCCTCTTTGTGCCATATCACTTTCTCTCTGTTCTCTCCCCGAAGGCCGAGTAAGTGAATATCTCATTAATTCCATACAAAATCCTATCCTAAATGATAATCCATCTGATAATCATACACATATCTAGCTTGTGAAAACAAGTTACTTATTTGGACCAAACTCAAATTGCACACTGAGAGAACACATGGGATGTCCATTCTAAAGAGAAAAATGATGGAAAAGATAAAGGCGATAATGACTCAGAGTAAGAGACACTGAAAACGACGAAAGGGAAACATGTTAAAGTTTCCAGCTAACTTCTTTCCACCAAAAACTCTTAATAAACTTTCATTATCACGCACAGCTTATGGAAATTAAGCAACGCTGATGAGTTGACGTTGAGATTAACAGTTTGTGAAAGGTTCTTATGATAAGATGATCATCTATCCAGTTGATCGACATTATTTTAGCATCTTCATTCCACAGAGCACCATCATAACAGGGGCATAATAATGGACCTCACTCGAATAAAAGTAAATCTGTAATGAACTATTCAAGATGATATTCATTTTTGTAAAATTGAATCGTCCAATAACATACTACCACCACCATCACTGCTGCTATATATTTCAGTTCACCACTTGGTAATTATATAAATCAGACTTCTCTGCCTTCTAACACTGAACCAAAATGCTGCAAATCTACCCTTGAATAACTAACAATAGTTTCTATCTTAGTGCCCCCTAAAGTAGCAAAGCAACCTCAAAATGCCTTGTTAGTGGAAGCCCAAAAATAGCAAAATATAATTAAGCTTCTTAGTAACTCATCAGAAATGTTGTGTATCCTGTAAACCTAACCTTTTGCTTTCTGGTAAACAAGATGTCATATTGATGAACTACTCAGACCGCGATTATTTATATGCCTTCTAGTAATGACCAATATGCTCCAAATTGACCCTTCAGTACATAACAATAGTTTACTATCTTAGTGCTGCCTAAATTGTACTGCCTTAAAATTCTTTTTTATTGAAGCCAAGAAAAGTTAGATATGATTAAGCTGCTTATGAACCCATCAGAAATTGTTGCGTCCAGTAAATAAACAGTTAAGTCATGTTGATAAACACTCCAACCGCAAAATACTCCAGCAATCAATATGCGCGAAAAGCTCCAGCAATCCCTCCCTATATGTTAATTTAAAACGTGTTGAGCCTAGGTGGTAGATTCTCACGCTTCAGATGCTGAAGTGATGTTGTTTTTATATTATTTTTGTTCTGGAGTTAGGTTTGGTATTAGACATAAATAACTTTTTACACATATATTCATTAACCCAACACCCATGTTGTACATGGGTAACATGGGTATCAGTACTAGTCACATTTGTAAAGGAAAACAATATTTGAATTAACATTAGCATTTCATATCCAGAACTAACAATATTCATATTTACAATTTATTATCAAGCAAACTCCATAGCCTTAAATGCACAAGTTCTTCAAGTTTTTTTAATAAAGAAACGCAATGCTAGGAACTGTTCAGTTTAATGAACTTTTTACATTGTCCATTTTAATTTAAACAGAAAATTGCTAAAAAGCTAATTCGACTGAGAAATAGATCTGTACCTGAGCAATAGCACCAGAAATCCCACCAATCACTGCTTTGCTGTAAAATGGAAGCGCACGATCGGTCGACTGTGCCATACGGCTGCGCAAATGTTCGTAGCCAACAATTCGAGTCGGAGTGTAGAGCATGTGCCGGAAAATAGCAGGGGACAGGCCTTTATACATCCCAAAAACGCCGTCCTTGCGCGCGATTTGGAGAGCCATTCCGCACGCCGAGGCCGGGCGGACCGACGGCGTTGATTCGCCGTGAAGTTGGAGGCGAGTTTTGAGAAGGTCTATGGGGAACGTGGCCGTCTCCGCCGCACTCGCCGCCAGGGATGTCAGAATTATTTTCCTGACGCCACGATCGGCGGCGTTCATTCTTCGACGGTGGCCAAGTGGTGCGTGCGTGAGGAAAAATATTAGTTGGGCCCCCGTTAAAAAAATCAAGCTATTTATTGGGAATTTTTTATGCATGCTACCCGATTTTAAAATAATTGCAATAATACCATTCATACTAATTTAATTGTGTTTATACCTAATAGACTAAAAGTAATAACATTTATGCCTAAAATCAGTTACAAGTAGATGGAACAAACATTCCATGTTTGTAGCCCACGATTTTAGGAGAGAATATGGAAAGATATCACATTTGAATTTGAAGAAACAATCTTGATAAATACGGAAAAA